AGCTCTTACAGCAAGCATGGGATACTGGTGACCTTGTCAGCTCTTACAACAAGCATGGGATACTGGTGACCTGGTCAGCTCTTACAACAAGCATGGGATACTGGTGACCTAGTCAGCTCTTACAGCAAGCATGGGATACTGGTGACCTTGTCAGCTCTTACAGCAAGCAAGGGATACAGTGGACCTAGTCAGCTCTTACAGCAAGCATGGGATACTGGTGACCTTGTCAGCTCTTACAACAAGCATGGGATACTGGTGACCTTGTCAGCTCTTACAGCAAGCATGGGATACTGGTGACCTTGTCAGCTCTTACAACAAGCATGGGATACTGGTGACCTAGTCTGCTCTTACAGCAAGTAAGGGATACTGGTGACCTAGTTAGCTCTTACAACAAGCATGGGATACTGGTGACCTTGTCAGCTCTTACAACAAGCATGGGATACTGGTGACCTAGTCAGCTCTTACAACAAGCATGGGATACTGGTGACCTTGTCAGCTCTTACAACAAGCATGGGATACTGGTGACCTTGTCAGCTCTTACAACAAACATGGGATACAGGGGACCTAGTCAGCTCTTACAACAAGCATGGAATACTGGTGACCTTGTCAGCTCTTACAGCAAGCATGGGGTACTGGTGACCTTGTCAGCTCTTACAGTTACAGCAAGCATGGGATACTGGTGACCTTGTCAGCTCTTACAACAAGCATGGGATACTGGTGACCTAGTCAGCTCTTACAACAAGTAAGGGATACTGGTGACCTAGTCAGCTCTTACAACAAGCATGGGATACTGGTGACCTAGTCAGCTCTTACAGCAAGCATGGGATACTGGTGACCTTGTCAGCTCTTACAACAAGCATGGGATACTGGTGACCTTGTCAGCTCTTACAGCAAGCATGGGATACTGGTGACCTTGTCAGCTCTTACAACAAGCATGGGATACTGGTGACCTAGTCCGCTCTTACAGAAAGTAAGGGATACTGGTGACCTAGTTAGCTCTTACAACAAGCATGGGATACTGGTGACCTTGTCAGCTCTTACAACAAGCATGGGATACTGGTGACCTAGTCAGCTCTTACAACAAGCATGGGATACTGGTGACCTTGTCAGCTCTTACAACAAGCATGGGATACTGGTGACCTAGTCAGCTCTTACAACAAACATGGGATACAGGGGACCTAGTCAGCTCTTACAACAAGCATGGAATACTGGTGACCTAGTCAGCTCTTACAGCAAGCATGGGGTACTGGTGACCTTGTCAGCTCTTACAGTTACAGCAAGCATGGGATACTGGTGACCTTGTCAGCTCTTACAGCAAGCATGGGATACTGGTGACCTTGTCAGCTCTTACAACAAGTAAGGGATACTGGTGACCTAGTCAGCTCTTACAACAAGCATGGGATACTGGTGACCTAGTCAGCTCTTACAGCAAGCATGGGATACTGGTGACCTAGTCAGCTCTTACAGCAAGCATGGGATACTGGTGATCTTGTCAGCTCTTACAACAAGTAAGGGATACTGGTGACCTGGTCAGCTCTTACAACAAGCATGGGATACTGGTGACCTTGTCAGCTCTTACAGCAAGCATGGGATTCTGGTGACCTTGTCAGCTCTTACAGCAAGCAAGGGATACAGGGGACCTAGTCAGCTCTTACAGCAAGCATGGGATACTGGTGACCTTGTCAGCTCTTACAGCAAGCATGGGATACTGGTGACCTTGTCAGCTCTAACAACAAGCATGGGATACTGGTGACCTTGTCAGCTCTAACAGCAAGAATGGGATACTGGTGACCTTGTCAGCTCTTACAACAAGCATGGGATACTGGTGACCTAGTCCGCTCTTACAGCAAGTAAGGGATACTGGTGACCTAGTTAGCTCTTACAACAAGCATTGGATACTGGTGACCTTGTCAGCTCTTACAACAAGCATGGGATACTGGTGACCTTGTCAGCTCTTACAACAAGCATGGGATACTGGTGACCTTGTCAGCTCTTACAACAAGCATGGGATACTGGTGACCTAGTCAGCTCTTACAACAAACATGGGATACAGGGGACCTAGTCAGCTCTTACAACAAGCATGGAATACTGGTGACCTTGTCAGCTCTTACAGCAAGCATGGGGTACTGGTGACCTTGTCAGCTCTTACAACAAGCATGGGATACTGGGGACCTTGTCAGCTCTTACAACAAGCATGGGATACTGGTGACCTTGTCAGCTCTTACAACAAGCATGGGATACTGGTGACCTAGTCAGCTCTTACAACAAACATGGGATACAGGGGACCTAGTCCGCTCTTACAACAAGCATGGAATACTGGTGACCTTGTCAGCTCTTACAGCAAGCATGGGATACTGGTGACCTTGTCAGCTCTTACAGCAAGCATGGGGTACTGGGGACCTTGTCAGCTCTTACAACAAGCATGGGATACTGGGGACCTTGTCAGCTCTTACAACAAGCATGGGATACTGGTGACCTTGTCAGCTCTTACAGCAAGCATGGGGTACTGGTGACCTTGTCAGCTCTTACAACAAGCATGGGATACTGGTGACCTAGTCAGCTCTTACAGCAAGCATGGGGTACTGGTGACCTTGTCAGCTCTTACAACAAGCATGGGATACTGGTGACCTTGTCAGCTCTTACAGCAAGCATGGGGTACTGGTGACCTTGTCAGCTCTTACAACAAGCATGGGATACTGGTGACCTTGTCAGCTCTTACAGCAAGCATGGGGTACTGGTGACCTTGTCAGCTCTTACAACAAGCATGGGATACTGGTGACCTAGTCAGCTCTTACAGCAAGCATGGGGTACTGGTGACCTTGTCAGCTCTTACAACAAGCATGGGATACTGGTGACCTTGTCAGCTCTTACAGCAAGCATGGGGTACTGGTGACCTTGTCAGCTCTTACAACAAGCATGGGATACTGGTGACCTAGTCAGTTGTCACAAGCATCACAATGGGGACCTTGTCTTCTTCAGAATCCCTACAGGGTATGAGGTAAACCCTGGGAGGAGCTTTGTTACAAATCTCGAAAGTAGATGTGCCAATTGCAAAAGCTCATGAATAAAATGGCCTGTTTTACTGGCTCCAAATATATAACTAAAGTTCCTGTGACATTGAATAAGATTTAATGCAAAGTTACGTTTTTTACCAAATCTGAAACAATTTCGGTTTGCAACAGATAAAAGACTCCTGTAAGTGTTCAAATGGTTTAATTTGCCATAGTGACTTAAGAACATGCGTGATTTCATTAAAAAACCCATGAACATGCCAAAATGTCAATTTACAAATCAATAGCGTGTGTGTCCACCTCTGGTTGCGATGCAAGCAAAACATCTTCGTCTCATGGAATGGACCAGGCGTCGCACAAAGTCCTGTGGGATAGCTGTCCATATCTGCTGGAGCATGTTTCGAAGTTCCTGGAGCGTCTGTGGAACACGTGGTTGATGTCGAAAGCGCCGATCAATCTCATCCCACATGTGCTCAATTGGTGAGAGATCAGGGGAGCGAGCCGGCCAGTGGATGACATTCACGTTGTTTTGTTGAAGAGAATCCTGAACAAGTCGAGCAATATGAGGCCGGGCGTTGTCATGTTGAAAGGTAATGACTGGGCCATGACGACGCAAACAACAGGGCCGATGATCTCGTCGCAGTAGCGCTGTCCATTGAAATTTTCCTCTACCACTTTCAACCAGGTCCTCTGTCTTGCTGTTAGCCCACCCCTTACCATAACACTGCCGCCCCCGAACCAATCTTCTTCCCTGACACAATGATTGACGTAACGTTCACCTCAACGTCGGTACACTCGAATCCGTCCATCGCTGTCGCTGAGGTGAAAACGAGACTCGTTAGTGAAAAGAACTTGTCCCCACTTCATGGCTGTCCACGGTAGACACTGTCTGCACCACTGTAGACGTGTTTGACGGTGGTTTCCTGTCAAAATGAGAGTCTGGCGGGTCTTCTGGCGACAATCCCTGCACATCTGAGGCGACAACGGTTTGTGAAGATATTTGTCGAGGGCCAGGGATGCTTCTTGCAGTCACTGTTGCTGGCTGGAATCGATTTCGTAGGTGAGTTGTTCGAATCCAGTTGTCGTGTCGATTATTGGTTACGCGTGGCCTGCCACTCCAAGGATGGTCTCTGACTGCATTCATCTGTTGCCAACGTTGCCATAAACACCAAATGGTGTTTCTGTGGACGTTAAATTGTCTTGCAACATCAAGTTGACTCGATCCTGCTTCAAGCATACCAATGGCTCGCAGACGCTCATTTTCGAACAGGCGTGGCAATTCGTAATGTTGAATAATTGCGTAATTTTGTTGTTTTTCTGAGTGTTTTTTGTCAGCACGATGCTAAACAATGCATATGGAATCCTGTTAACGCACATGTTTTTATACCCATTCTTGGGTAGTGAACTTTACTTGTTTGAAAAATACACTAAAATATTGGTGTCACAGGAACTTTTGTTGTTGAGTATATATTAGCATGACATGACTCTCTGTCAATATGTCAGATAATCAAAGAAATAACAGTGTTTGAAATCATAGTGGATGCATAAACATGCACCAGAGATTTAGTGCATATTTGTGGTTCCCCTGTTTTTAAGAAAGACTTCCCACATGTTTTCTTAAATGGCCACAATTCTTGTCCGGGTTTGGTCCACTAACTGGAATGAACACTGGTGCAAGAAAAACTGATATAAGCACAAAAGACTTGTCAAATTAGGAAACAAACTTATACCCATTCTTGAAATTTGTATATCAAAGCCTAAAGTATTTTTATCAAACATGAAAAATGCATGTCTAGTTACCACTAACGCAAAGAGAACCTAAACAAGCTTGGAGCAAATATTAAAAAATATGCAACACTGCAAGAACACAAAGTGCTGGAGATGCTTCCTGTTGTTTTTCTACCCTACTTGGTCTAACTAAGAGACAATGAGAGTGTGGAGTGATGTGGTACACTTGCAACAGAGGAAACAACTGCCACCAAATCTCACCTGTTCCTGTTGGCTCTAGCATCCTCTTCTCTCAGGAAGAACTGAGCGCCCAGGTCTGCCACGGTGGCTGTCTTCCTGTCTTGGATGGTCAGCGACTGGAAACAAATGAGACGCATGTCATGTCTAGGTAGGGGAATACAGTCTTTGTGGAGAATAACAACAGGATATGCAGGTTCTGGTGGAGGACATCCTGATGGAATATATCAACATTGGAGAGATAAACAACCTAAATCTGTTCAAGGTGCTGTCCTGGCAACATGTACTCAGATTCTACAGAACATTTCTTACAGTGGAATACTTACTTACTCTTTACAAACACATTAGGGTTGATAGTTAAAGCTGCAATTATCTTCAGTTATCTCATTATTTTTAATAAGTGTACGTGAAATTCATAGTAACCCAGGAGTAACCCAAAGTATAAAGAGTTATATTTTTTGTTATTTTGGATGATTGATCCACCTACACTAAAATTCAGGAATGTGTAACATTTCTTCTTTTTTTATTACAGGCACCGCCGAACCTGACAATTACACTTGCCAAAAACATCACAGATTGTTTCCCTACCTATTGAAACAAGTTGGATGACCAAAAAATGTTCAATAAAAGCGCAGGAATTATTCATACAGCCACACTCCAAGCATTGTGTTACATTGTTTCCACATAAAACACCATTGAACAAAATAAAGTTCCTGTCACAAATGGCAAATGCAAAAAGAGAATATGAAGGCTACTACACAAATATACACAGAAATGTACCCTAGGTTGCCAGTTCACAGCACTTTAGCTAGTGGACTAGTCCATTGAATGAAACTGGGTGCTCTGCAGATTTTTCGTGTGCCATAAACATCAATCATGGTTGTATGTGTTGTAGCTGAAGAATATGTTCTAATAAAACCACAGCATGGAAGTGAAACCGATGTAAGAGCCTGAGACATCCCCGCAGCCAGTTCTTCCCCACCTCTGCCCAGACTTTCCTCCCCCCCCGAATTGAGGCTATTAAGTCCTCGGGGAAGAACTAACTGGACAAGGCCAAACCTTCCCCGGGGAAGAAGTTAGCCACTGACCCATCTGCTTCAGGGGTCAGCTAGGGTACATTTCTGCATTATGCTTTCAGCCTGGGTACATATCTGTAGTACCCTATACGACATTGACCTCCCCATCACTAGTAAGACAAAAACAGGCCACAAGGGACCTATTTGCCCTCAAACTTCCCAGAACTACTTAATTGCAGAAAAAAGTCACAGACTACTTGGAGTCAGCAAATACAGCTTAACAAGTAATGATGCATAATGACACTGCTTGCCATTATTCAATTACTGTTAAAATCTTGCTTCATTACAAAATAATATGTACACCCAAGTGATAGTAATGGTAATAGCAATGTGCTGCACAACTTAAATACAGTCATGCCCCGCTTATACGGACTTCAGATATCCGGACACCTCGGTTCCCGGGCGATTTTCATTCAAAACAAAATAATTACTATATAAATTTACCCGTATATACGGAAATTCAGTTTCGGGAACCGGATGGTCATTTTCATACACAAAACACTGAAATGCACACAAAATTTGACTATTTGAAAAAAACACTGTTTTCTCACCTCTGCCTACTAAAAAGCATCAGTACTACAATCACCTGCTCCACCCCTTCCTCAGGGGGTAAACAACATAAGTTTTAAGTGAGTATCAACATAAAAAGCAACAAGACAAAAAGGTGAGTAGCTCACTAATACCCCTGACTTTGATTCCAACATATTTCTAAGTTCAAAACACGAAAAAGCAATATATTCTCAGAAAATCCACTTATTGAAATCAAACTTTGCACTGCACCTCACCTATTGGTATAGATAACTGAGTCCCCAATTGGAAAAGAATCCATGAAGTAGTCATTAAGTTATAGGTCGCACAAATGTTGGAGTAAAAAAATATTCAAGTTCAAAACATGAAAAGATCTTCTTTTCCAGAAAATACACATATCAAAATTAAACTTTCCGCTGCATCTCTTCTATTAGTATGGAAACTGTCCCCTAAATTTGAAAAGAATCCATGCAAAAGTTTTCAAGTTATAGGTCTCACAAATGTTTCAGTAAAAGAAATCTAAGTAGAATATGGTAAAATAGCTGTAAATTTTCAGAAAATTCCAATAGTGAAAGCAAACTTCACACTGTGCCTGTCCTATTGGTAAAGAAACTGTACCCCCAATTGGAAAAGAAACCATGAAATAGTTTTCAAGTCATAGGTTGACACAAAAAATTCATCTGAAGGACGGACAGATGGATGGAATTCCTTGTCCCTTTTAGGCCGGTGGTATAATTAAACAAATCATGTGAATATCACATTTTCAACACGGTTGGTCCACAAAATTAATGAACTCAATAAATGTTAGGATTACCTGTAAAACATGCTGGTTTAATTCAGCTTCAACTCGTTCTTTGGCTAAAAAATGGGGCTGTTGAATTTGTTCCAAAAAACTAATATTATCATTATTCATTGTTTATGAAGAAGTTGATTTGTAAAATGCCAACTTTCTTACCTTCACTCCAGCCAGCACTATGTTCTTTGCTGCAAGAGAACAATGGATAATTATCATGGTGCCATAATCAGTGATAGATCGCTCTGGGCCATTGTCTCTACCATTCAACCCTCTCCCTCCTTCCATTAGTTTCTTACTGCATGTTCCTACCAACACCTAGGGGTGTGACAATACCCACACCCCACATATCAATACATTTCACATGACTTGAGAAATACATATGTATTATGATTTGTTTCCATGGTCCATACAGTCTGGCTGACCAGTGGTTGGTGCTATTAACCAGTTTGTACATAATTCACACGTCTGGTTAATTTGCTTATATTCAATCAGATTAAGCATTTTCTTTCATGAAATGTGGTCAAGACAATATATCCCAAATAGAGAAAATTAGGCCAGTTTATCTGAAAACTCCTGCTGTATGAAAACATACGGAGGGAAGCGAGTGAGGGAACACATGGAAGTACTGCTTGTTCCAGGGTTCTCCACCAGCGTAGTGTTGCACTGTGGCTGAACATCTGGAACTACATACAGGAACACTGCGATGGAGAGGTGTTCCCCGATCTGTCTCCCTTCCTATATCAATCAGTGGGTAGGCACATGAAGTATTGTATGGTCAGATGTAAATATGCAATGTATCGATGCATCTGTGAATTGTGACACCCCAACCTATTGTCCTCCATATCAGTCAATCCAGTAGAGATAACGGCTGTAACAAATATTGCTATCTCTTGTATAAATCCTTTCTCCAAATAAGGATACTGAAAGGTCTTCAAAATACTGAAACACAAATGTAAGTGTGTGTCATGATCTGATCACAACAGCAACTGAACAAAATAAGTGAACATCTACTCCAGCAGCATAAAGACACAAAAATATTACTGAGAGTCATGTGAAACACGTTTCCATCTGTTCCCTTAATTGTTAACATCAAGTCAGGAACAAAGAGTATCATTTTCACCTCCTGAATTGTGACTTAATGAACTAGAAAATACTCAAATCAATCAAACAGGATTGACCGGTTCAAATATAGTATCTGGAATAACGGAATATAATATGAAGGTATACATTAAAGAGCAGCTCACATGATTGTGACAACACTGATGTGACTGAATTAACAGAGCTGGGTCTCATGCAACAAAGTGATCTGAGTGTTATGACTGCTGTAAGACTATGTTAGTGGGAGTTACGACAGGTGTAGCACCGGGAGTACTGAGTGGAAAGAGGCCCAGGGGAGCGTTGTCACAATGATGTGATCTAGTCCCTGAAGTATTCATTTAACTCAGATAAAGTGACTCAGAAACGTCACCATTGATTAAAAGTTTTCATTAAATATATTAACGTTACATGAACATAGCCAATGACAAACTCTCAAGCACTCACACTGATAAAGCTTGAGGACTCCCATGTGCTCAGTTGGTGGGACAGAAGAGTAGACACTTTTTGTTACTTACAGAGCAATTCAAAAGTTGAAGGTAGGAAAAATGAGTTCCTTCAATGCTGAGACCAGTCCCCTCACGCCCAAAACAGTTGTCAAAGGAATCCTATTTTGCAATGATTAATAAAGCTGGTATGTTGACAGGCTTTTTACCCTTTTTCACTTAATGGCCCCAAACTTGAAGTACTACTTTGTTTTATACGACATCAAACTTTGGAACCAATTCCTTAACAGGGCTATAAGAAGTCAAAAATGTGATCTAACGTGTTCCTTTCAAATAATGAGGTGTTGTGATGATACAGCGAGCTGAAATCATGGCATCTTGCCATGGTATTAATGGCCTAGTGTTAATTAATTGAAAGAAGGCACTGTAGCTCACTTTGCTCCACAGTTTCAGAGATAAATGATATTAGATTTTGCAGCATACTCAGTAATGGAGAAAGTTGAGTGCATATCTCATAATCCAATAATTATTTTTGTATTTGACTGGCAAATCAATCCCATTATGTTGCTACACAGTCCATGACCTTTTCCTTTCTCAGACAAAAAGAGTCTTACAGAAAATATTATCCCGCCCCTTTTTTTTAAAACTAAATTTTGATATACACACCATGAAATGATCTTATCATAGCACTAGACATTCTACTATAACAGACCCATCCCACCAGGCAAGTTGGAGAAGTTGACAAATGAACAGAAAAGTCATAAGCTTATGTGGACCTTCATCCTGGTGAACTGGTCGAAGAAAAAGGTATATTCAGCTACAACTAAAATTACTTGGAAAATCGTGCTGTGTATATTGAGAAACTCTTCATCCCAGTAAATGTAAACAATCCCATTGTCATATGCAACATAGCTGAGAAGCCTATATAGTCAATACACACTCAGGGGACAATGTAACAATATTCACAGACAACCATAACAGAATAAAGCAGTGAGACAAATGGTATTAAGATATTTTGGATGAGTCTGTGAATGTCCTGGAAATGGTCGGTTGGTCGGTTTGTTGGTTTATGCCGCACTCAGCAATATTCAAGCTATATGATGGCGGTCTGTAAATAATCGAGTCTGAACCAGACAATCCAGTAATTGATATCATGAGCATAGATCCACGCAATTGGGATCGATGACATACTTCAACCAAGTCAGCAAGCCTGACCACCCGATCCCGTTAGTCGCCTCTTATGACAAGCATAGTCGCCTTTTACGGCAAGCATGGGTTGCTGAAAACCTATTCTAACCCAGATCCTGGAAATGAGCCAATCAGAAACCCTCATAGAGTGTGTGGTGAATCATACATAATTATTGTGAATACTGGAGAATACCAGTGCACAAATTCAGAAATTCTTGTTCTGTAAACATGAGTTCTCTATAAAATTGAACTACATGTACCAGAAGCCAGTAGCACGGCTAGTGGCAGCCTCTCATGTTCCATACTGAATAGCCCTTGGAAAATGTTACTGGACACAAGTCAGTGGTAATCTCAGATGTAGATGCTATACCCACCTATCTCCACTCCAAGTCCACCCATGCCATATATGAGCACCGCTGACTTGGCCATCCTCTTCATGGCACTGTCTCCCAGGACATAACGCTGACGACTGAAATACAAGATTCACAGGCTACATCAAAGCTTCACATTCTGCATACTGTATATGACTGTAAATAAGCCGAATTTTGAGGACCAGAAAAAATTTCTGTACAAAGGGGTCGGCCTATGTAAAAATACATTACATCACTGCAGGTGAAAGAACAACCCTCGACCAAGTTTGTCAATGAAAACATGATGATCTACCATTTGGGATGGCTTTCTTGTTATGCTAGGCATTGTTTTACATACAGGGATTAAGATTACAGTGTATATTGTCTCTAAGCCGGAAATAGTAATCAGCTGTACACACCTTTTCTCCAAATCTACTGGTGACTGCGTTAAAACATAACTAATAACATAACATAACAGAAATTTGATGCTAAGATCAGAAAAATTAGAATCTTAAACTACTATTTTACAACAAATAATATTATCTGATAACGTGTTATCTTAATTGAAGGTTCGCTTCAAGGTGAATTAATAGCGATCATATACTGAACAGCATTGAAAACGCACCAGCAATAAATCTTGAAATATTACAAAAACAACTTGAGCAATGACCGATTTTGATTAGAACAGACATAGACAGATTATTAAGAAAGACGACAAAGGAAACAGGAATACCACACAGTAATTACAATTACGTCATCAGTGTAAGGAAGACACATAGGGTTAAAATCAAAAGTCAATATCTGGTATGTCCGCCATTGACAGCAACACAGGTCTTCTCATTGATCGAATAAGTCTGCGAATAGTGTTCTGGGGCATTCCACTCTTGACGTAGAGTATCTTCAAGTTCTCTCAGGTTCTGTACTTGCGGACGACGTGAGAGGCGTTGACCCAGGTAATCCCATAGATGTTCAATTGGCGATAGATCGGGTGACAGGCCTGGCCATGGAAGCAGAGGCACATTATTGTTTGCTAGGTACTGTGTTGAAACACGTGCTGTGTGCACTCTTGCATTATCTTGCTGGAAGGTGTGCATATCCTGATGCTGATGAAAGAATGGGATGACGTGATTTGCCAATATGTTATTCCTGTAGAAAAGGGCATTAACTCTTCCACGACAAACATGGAGCTCTGTTCGATGGTTATGACTGATGCCGCCCCACACCATGACACTCCCTCCCAACCATCGATCTGTCTGTACAAAGCAGTCATTGTGGTAACGTTCTCCACGTCGTCGACCGTCAGCATTCCGTAAATGAAAACGGGATTCATCAGAGAACAGCACACCATGCCACTGCCTCAATCTCCAATGACGATGCCTTTTGGCCCAACGCAGACGTTCATTTCGATGTCGATCAGTGAGTATGGGTCCAACATATAGACGTCGAGCACATAGCCCTGCTGAGCGGAACGTTGACGTACGGTTTTAGCACTGATCAATTCCGTCGGCCTTGTACGGTTGCTGCAGTCCTGGTAGCCGGAAGTGTACGATCACGAAGATGCCGAAGAACAAAATGGCGATCCTGACGTGGTGTAGTTACACGACGTTGACCCGGACGTGGTCGATCTCTGGTGGTTCTTGTCTACTGGTATCTGCTCAGTAGCCTGAGGACTGTTGAATGATGGCATTGAAACCGTTGTGCAAGGACTCTACTTGACATACCAACTTGAAGCATGCCCAAGGCACGTTCACGTTCCTCTGCTGTTAATCTTGGCATTTCTTGTGTCAGTACCCTTTATGTCTGCAGCAACAAGTGATGTGGCTTTTAAAAGTCTGTCTTTTATAGCCCTATTCTGCATGCTTCCCGTGAAACAAAACACGTTTTCCATGATGTGCACGCAATTTGTTGCGTTTAGGCGATTTCGCTCACAAAAAATTTAGGAATGTGTTTTGACGAGCTGTTCTTCTTCATGCTTCGTCCAGAACGTTGTATATTACTCATTCACTTATATATTTTCATATGACTTAAGCCCAGATAAAAATACATCCATTTTCATGGTGATGCGTTTTCAATGCTGTTCAGTATATGATCGTGGTTGCTGTGAATAGTGAGAGTTGGTGCTGTCACAGTATTTGGTAAAACGGACCTTATGGAATGGGGTAAACAGAAGTTGTAAGTAGCGGAGGGACACACGATTTCGCAGAAATTAATGTCAACATTATTGAATGAAATATTGATCAAATATACTTATGCTGTATTACTCCTTAATGTATTTACTACTATTTTTTTACAGAAAGTCAAAGCTGTGAGAGGTCCAGCTGAAGAAGAAGTTGTGTGGCAAATACTCTCGCACAGCTATCACGTGATCCCGGAAGTGGAAACATCTTGTATGAGGACATTACTTCTTGAACATAACATCTGAAGACTTCGTGGGGAGGTAGCACTGCAGTGGGAGGGCACTTAGATAGAGTAATGCAGGATAATTAAGTATACAAATGTAAAACATATTAAGAGTTTACTAAATATTAACTTATCCTGCAATACTCCTTAATGCATCTTTATCAGGGATACGGCGGAGGGCATACCTTCAGAGACGGTCCTCTGTGACATAAACTCTCCAGTAGTTAACGGCAGTCTCTTGCTGAGAACTGTAACTACTTTGACCAATCCTGTCCGGGGACGGTACGAGAGTATGAGCATGTCTGCTAAAAAGCAGCAAGAGAAATTAGTATGTGCTAAAGTCTGGAAACTGGTTTACCAAGCCAAACTGCCGATAAGCAGAATAACCCCCATGTCAGGTGTGCGAACACTACACAAGTCAGGTAAGGCCGGCTCTGGACAGGAGGAGCATTTTAATGGCAACAAAGATTGGTGACCTGCTGGGTTGCACAACCAGAGGGCCAAAACTATGAACCCTTTCGACTATTAGCTCGGTACATCAAGGTTGGCTATTTATAAGCCTGAAGGATTATAGCTCGCAGCCAAAATGATATAGTGTTACAGTTTGTCTCGGTCATGAAGGTCAGAGATACCAAGCACCATACAAAGTCTTGGAGCGACGGATATAACTCGTCTTTAGCTCCTACAATTGATGATAGAGGATGGTTGGTGAAGAACCAGTAGGGCTGTCCTGGTTGTTGATTCATGGCAATGAAATCCCAGGAAAGCCTGAGGTGAACAACTACGTGTGTACAACACTCAAAGTGTACATGGGTAATGTCGAGAGCATGAAGCTCACTAAACCTTCCGCCGTGACCAGTGCCAAATAGAATATTATTTTCTTCGTGAGGATATAAAATGATGTAGTATGGAGAGACTCGAACAGGGAAGCACGCAAACACAAAAGTATGACATTGCAGGAGAGGCAAAACTGGGCCTTCTGATCTTCAAAGTGCAATAATGTAAAAGCGCCTACAGATCTGGTCATTTTCCGAAACTGCCAACACTGAACTGAGAGTCACCATATAGGTAGCAATGGTGTTGCCTTCCAGGTGTCGCTTGGTACGCAGATAAGGGAGGTATTCAGCCAAGAATAAAGGCGACGCAGTAGTGGGGTCCTGATCCTTCCCTACAAAAGGTTTCTTGGGATCGCCACTGATCATCATAAAGATCTCGGGTTGATGGTCTATGCGCCATAGCAATCGCCTTAGCTGCCCGTGCCAAATAGCCTTTTGTGCCTAAAGCTCTCTTGAGATGAAGATGAAATCAGCCTGATGCTGAGTGTGGCAACTTGCTGTGAGGATGGATGAGTAGGTTCAAACACTCTGGCAGGGGTAGTGGGTCAGTTTCTGCAAGACTTCTGAGGCCACCAGTGCGCAATCAGTACGCTCTTAGTCCTTCCCAAGGCATGTTGAATGCATCTACCACCAATGCCTACGGGTCCGGGATCAGAGAGATATATGTCCTTAGCTGGTAGTTCTGATGCGTGGCAAAGAGGTCGATGTTGGCCTGACCGAACCGCTGATGCACCAGTTGAAACGCCTCTGGATGGAGTTTCAACTCTGTGGTAGACAGCCTGTCTGGACTGGATAAAGCATCCGTCAGAATGTTCTGACACCTAGGGATGTGCTGAACTAGAAATCATTGACCCAGATGATTCACCAGATTAAAGGACAAAAATGTCTTTTGGAACATTGAGTGAGAGTGCGTTGTCCCTTGGTTGCGCAAGTACCAAACCACCGTGCTGTTGTCGCTGGATATGGCGAGTTGAATGTTCCAGAGACACTCCTGCCAATGAGATATTGCCATAATGAGTGACTCCAACTCAAGGTTGTTGATGTCCAAAGTCCACAAAGTGCAACTTCGCCTCGTTGACCACCCATCCCAGTTGATAAAGAAGGCGCCTGGTAAAGTCTCGATGGAGAACCAGGATAGCCGTATCCAGATGGTTCAGGAGACAGTCACCTATGTACAACCCGAACCAAATGTGCCTTAGGTGTAGGAGGGCAGCTACTGGCTTGGTGAGTAGAGTAAATAGCAACAGGGTTACTGAAATGCCAAAGTGCGTCATCACTTGTTTAGTCACATGGCAAGCTGTGTAAGGGTCAGGCTTCTTGATTGGAACAACTTTGTATGTCTTCAGCTTCATTTCTGTCATAAGGTAAGCAGTAGATGCATTAAGGAGTAATGCAGGATAAGTAGTGTGGAGTGTGGTTTTACGCCACTTTTAACAATATTCCAGCAATATCTGGGGGACACCAGAAATGGGCTTCACACATTGTACCCATGTCGAGAATCTTACCTGGGTCTTCGGCGTGACGAGCAACCACTTTAACTACTAGGCTACCCGATCGCCCCTCAGGATAAGTGTAAACATCTGTTTGTTTGTTGTCTTGCCCCACACTCTACAATATCCAGCTCAATGATGGCAGCCTGTACATAATAAAGTCTGACCAGACAAACCAGTGATTGGTATTAAGAACGCAATTGGGGTACGTTGACACCAAGTCATCAAGTCTGACCACCCCTTCCATTCAGATGCCTCTTCTAAAGAGCATAGGTCGCTGGGGACTTGATCTAACCCTTTATTCCCAAAAGGTTAAAATTAAAATACATCACCACTATGATGAATCTGGACACTCCTTGTTGGGGGGCAAATACAACTGAACGAATGAATTTTCAGTGTCCAGCGTTTAGGACTTACCTGTACAGTGTATCGTCAATTTCAACTTCTGACGCCATCATCTATCCTTTCTAAGTCAACCTGCAAAAAGTAATTGCAATATGATTTATATGCAAACCAAACAGGTATCACATCCCCATGGTATACAGCATGATACAGTGCACACCCACCAAACCCGCATCTCTATAACAAGTCTCATCTTCTGTGTAATCCAACACCTTCAGAGCTTTACTTTATTAATCCAATACAATGCATAAAATAGAATAATTATTAAATCGAAACCAACAAACGATCAATGGAATAACACATGTAAAAAGTGCCATGCACTTCCCCTGCCTTTTTGCAGGTTTTAATGAATATTTGAATAAACAGAGAGCGCTTAATACTGCATGAAACATGTCATCAACTTAGTGTCCATGCCTACCATTTCCTACCATGCTGAATAATTTAGTTGCGATCATGTTGGTCAAATTATTTTGTGTGTTCATCCGACCAAAAGCATTTCAGTGTACCGTATTTCTCTCACAGTCTAGTGATAATCAGATGTTTAAGTAAGGTGAGGTACAGTCAAATAGGGTTTATTGTTAATTCTTGCAAGATTATTACACTTACAAAGCGATGTGTGTGTGCATGTGTGTGTGTGTGTGTGTGTGTGTGTGTGTGTGTGTGTGTGTGTGTGGGGGGGGGGTATATAATGCTAGTTGCCAGGCAAGTTACAATGACTGGTCCCGGGCAGATGCTCTATCTACAGATGAAGGCTGTCCCCAAATGTTCAGACCACAAAATTTGTGACATCAAATCTAATGCATCAGTATGACAATAACAAATATATCTTACTTTCAAAGTAACGGGTAAATGAATAACACACCAGCCATGAACAATTACAGTTTATCTGTACGAAGTGAATTAAATGGGAGTGGAATGCTGTAAGTATATGTTTAAATAGTTTCAGAAGGAACAACAGACTGTTCTCATACTGCTGATGGTAAATACATGCATATGCAATCACCAGGAATAGACATGCATGCATGTAATGCAACTAGTCCACACTCAATCCCTACTTGTGGTTTATGTAACAAAACTAGATTTTGCAAGAAAGAACGAAGCTAGTCCTTTTGGGCTGGGATGAGTCCAAATTTACTACCCGGGGACCCACACCCCTATGACCCAATCCTACCCAGGGACCCACTGTTGGTGTCAAGAGATAGGCACAAAATGTCCGATTGGGAATAGTTTGACAGTAGCCCTGGCAGAATGTATCTAGATACAAGTATAAAACGATGTGGTCATGCATACACTGACATTGACTGAAGTTTTAGCTTTGTTCAAACATATATAAGTCAGAAGGAACATGGTCATAAAGAAATGCGAACATTAGAGACTTAAAATTGTCATGTAACCATGTAGTTATATAGTGAATTTTTATCATGAAACAATATATCACATGACTAACTACTGGTCCGGGTAGTGCTGTGGGTACCCGGGTCCTACTCATTACCCACCCGAGTACCCGAGTACCCGAGTTACCCGTCCCAGCCCTATAGTCCTTCCACATTATCAATGGTATCAGCCTTCTTACCATGGCTAACCCTATCACTGGCTTAGTAAAAACTAATATGGTAGTACACAAGTAACCAGACCCGTGAAGATCCGGGGTAGAATAGATCTTCAGCAACCCATGCTTGCCGTAAAAGGCGACTATGCTTGTTGTAAAAGGCGACTAACGGGATCGGGTGGTCAGGCTTGCAGACTTGGTTGATGCATGTCATCGATCCCAATTACGTGAATCTATGCTCATGATATTAATCACTGGATCTTCTTGTAAAGACTCGTTTATTAACAGACCGCCGTCATATAGCTGGAATATTGCTGAGTGCGGCGTTAAACAACAAACCAACCAACAAGTAACCAATGACCAAGAAGGGATTTTAAAGGCAAAAAGTTAAGCCTTCCTTGCGCACCCCACCCCACCCCCTCATAAATATATATAATTAAAAGGATTGAGGAGTAACACATACATATATATAACTTTGGGGGGGGGGGGGGGGGGGGGGGATACGGGCAGATGTCTTTCCGCCAATCTGAGGCACTAGGAAAATGGTCTCTGGGCGTTTTATCGTGGAAAGAGTGATTTATAAGGTTAACAACCTGACCTTTGAAACGTTAACATACTCTCTGGTTATTCTGTACGTGCAGCCGTTTGAATAGGCAATGAAATGTTATGCTTGCTTTCATGGAAAATTGTTCCTTAAATTTATCATAACACAGCCGATTGCACAACTGCAACATAAGTGTCAGTCGTGTTTACGAATCAGTTGGAACTTGTAACCCGACGACATGCAAGCTGTTGTCAAATTCAGATTACATGTAGCCTGACAAAGTATGTTCACATACACAACTTTGATGAATTGTTAAACACACGAAGTCATGATCACCGAAACAGTCATACACACCAACTCTATTTCCACTTCAGCTAGGCCTATCGCTTCTTTCCGTAATTTCCCGGTAACGGAAGTGAAACCTAAATCGATTACACGTTATGCGATTCGCTACCGTGAATAGTATATCCAATGAAACGTTTCGTTACAAAACAAGGTGCCCGTCCTTCTAGCCGGCAAGAGAAGAGGCTTCACATTCAGTGGTGAGGAATGGCGACGGATGCAGTGGATAGCATGTCGATGTCCGAAACGGATGATCAGGGCTTTTCACAGCCACCCAAAGCTGCTTTGCTTTTGGTTATTGGAGAACCCCTTTCCGATGAACACAGGAATTTGATTTTGGCCGAAATCACGACAGGTAGGAATTTAAAAAATGTGTTGTCGAGTTTGACAGCCGCTTCTGAGAACTACCAGGAATCGGCAAGCATGCAAGCACCAGCCGAATGGTGTCGGTTTTCAGACGCACAATGGTATGCGAGACTGCAGTAGTTTTTAAATAGAAATCTTGCAGTATTTGTTTAGAATTGTGACATTTGTTTAAAAATTCATATTTAGACTTTAAATTTTCAAAAAGAGGCCAGTTAGAAACCGATAAATGCGTCACGCATAGCATTTACTTAATTCACTATCGTGCGAACAATGGTCGAAACAAACCAGTTTAGCGAAATGTTTCCTTTTGCCACTTTTGTTACAGCTAAACAGAAATGGGTCAGCTATTGAGACATATTTTTGCAAAGAAGTGACATTTATTCAATGAATGAGAAAAACAGGATTTCAACAGACAGACGATTATCATAATTTATTATTTCTCCTGCACCATTCACTCTCTCCTACCCAAGATAATTATGGTAGGGCACTGACGGGGAAGTTTGCCAAGTTACAGACATGACACAAGAATAATAATAACCCCTGCTTAGAATAATATTTTTGAAACAAATAGATGTTGCACTTGTTCTTTAATGAGTAAGTAGGTGATGTAGTATGTGTGAATGTTGCCATTTTCTAGATATTTGACATGAAAGATGTTATTGGCTCAGTTTCATCATCCCTATTACTTATTTGATATTCACACATATTTAATTCCCATTTCCCGTTTTGATATGTATCATCTAATTGAAATGTATTGAGTAGCTTCTACAACTCAAATTACAATGCTCATTGTTATAATGTTTTAGTGGGAAACAATATTGTTCATTTTTTAGGACCAGCTGTCATGATTTTGTATATATCTGCATTAATAATATCTTTTAAGTGAATGAAACAATAGCCCCACATACCCTCAGTGAAAGGATCATATTGATTATTCTAATTATCATCATCATAACTTTATTGCAAGTTCCTCTCATTTTTTAAGTGGATAGAGTAATTGATTCCATCGTGATATGAATTCAGTCCTAGGTAGTCCAGTGCAACTGTGGTCTGTTTACAATAAGGTATTTAAGTGGTATTGAACTTACACTAGTTTTCAATTTGTCCATTTGCACTAATTTTTTAATCCACAAGGGATAAACAATGTCTGAATTTTGAGTTTCATTATTTGAATAAACTGTGTGCCATGTGGAAACTGACAAAGGTGTTGCTTGCCATGTTTGTGTACTTGTTGACCAGAGCTTGCAGATATTGACTGTACCTCTCAGAAAATACCGCTTCTTCTGATGAAATACTATCTCAACTGGAAATTTGCAATTTAAATTTTCAGTCCTGAGACAAGTCAGTCAAGAAGCTAGGTTGTGCTCAATATTTGTGATATTTTTATGATATTAATGCCTAATGTGTCTTATTGTTTGTGGAAGCATTTGGCACACAGCAGTATAATGGAGGCAGCTACTGCAATCATGCAGTGCTACCAGCCCTGAGTAACATAATTATAGCCATGTGTCATTTATGTATTCTGATTGCTGTAATGATTACCATTGATTATGGAGGCAGTTTCATTCCAGAGATAAAATATTTACATACCCAGCAGTCTTGTTTAAATAGGAAAAAACAAGCTCTATTAATATTGATATGGTTATCAGCAACAGAAGTCATTTTCAGCTGACAAGCACAACATCACAGAATGAAACATACATATTTGATTCCCTAAAGTTTGCCATTGACAGGTTTTTATGTGCTGAGTTGCACGGAGGCCTGTCTACTCCTGGGTTAACTGTTACAGATTGCCAGTATGAGGTCATAGTACGTATATGGCAAGTATGAGTCACTCACTCACTCAGTCAGCCGAGCAAGCCCTGCATTGTAGTGCTGGCAGTTAGAAACCAGCCTGTAATATTATCCTGACTCAGAGGGAAAAAAGGCTGGGAGGGGAGTGGAGTGTTTGTTTTACCAGTGACATATTTTTGGGTCAGAGGGATGTTCAGTTTGAGGGGGGGGGGGGGGGGGGGGGGGGGGGGGGTACAACATCCTGATATTAATCACTCGTAGATGACCTTGAAAATGTGCCATGTTAATAATATTGTATGATTCATACAGTGTGAAAAAATCTTGCATGAAATGTTCAAGATTGTGAGAACTAGAACCAATTTTTCTTTGTATCCACAGAAGGGATTTCCAACATTGTGTATTATTTTGTTCTGCTATTTCCCTTACACAACCAGTCATTATGTAGAATAAGTTGTTTTTCATATGATTATCTCCTCTACATTTCTCTGAATGTCACTTTGACACTGAAGCCAACACCATAAATTCTTTGTACAACAATGTTGTAAATTTGTCAGACAATATAACTTCAGAAATATCTTGGGAAAACAGTGAAAGCAGCGACATTGTACAACTTGGAACTGTTGACCAAACAGTACTGTACATTACAGGTCTGCTAGGTAATACAATATGTTTTTAGCCAACCTGGAAAAAGGATCCTATTTCAGGTACAGTCCTTGCATATTGAAGAGAAGTAGCTGCTTCAGTAAAATAATACTTGGCGTCACCCCAGGGGTTGTAAATATCCTGGGGAAGATGGGAGGGAGAGACATATTGATATCATTTCTAAGGAGGCCAAGGTCCTACATGTGAGAGTGAGAGTGTATCAGGACTAGATAGTCCCACTGAGATTAGCATCAGATTACAGTTGTATATTGCTACTAAATGCCTCTGACAACTCAGCGTTAGTGCATCATGGACATCATCTTTGCCCTTGATTTCAGTTAATTGCTTTATGAGCGATGTCTTGTTTGAGCAGACGAAATTGATTAGATAATTGGCTTTGATAACTTATTTAAAGCGTTGATAAATAGATAATCTCATTCACTCTTGGGTTGTGCTTCTTTGCAAGAGAGCATGAGTGGTATGGTAAAATATGTTTCAAAATTTCCAATTCATAAATAGATTTGGGTCAATGAGCAGATGGTGAAATTGAAAACTGTGATTGGGTCACAATGACTTAATCAATCTTATCAGGGGGCCTGAATTCATGAGCTGTGTCAATTAAGCCTTGGACATGTTGTCAGCAATTGATCAGTGATTTTCAACACCCAGGTTTACACTTTATCAATCAGCAAGTAGTATATAGCAGTCAATTAGACATAAATACAGCTTTTGATAATGACATTTGTGAATGGACAGATGTTGATTACACCAATAAGTGTTCTTTTGACTGGGTCCATTGTTTGTTATACCAGCGAATGGTGTATCAGAAAGCTAGACAGCCCAGTGATGTAATCTGTGAAATATGAGGTATACGCCTTTGTTCTGGAGTCACTGAGGAAACTTCTCATTAATGAACTACGTATGTCAGATCTTTAGTGAATGATTCATTTGATTGTGCTGTAGTTTCATTCTCACATCAACTTCAAGTTGCGTGTATCACAACAATGTATTGCATGAATGATCCTAACTCAAAATTCGTTTTGGAGTGGGTGTTGACAGCTTGACTTTAAGTTCCCGTCTTACTGTATTTATTGCTGAACTAATTGACTAATTGCTGCTGTCAGTTAACCCCTCCCTGACACACTCCCTGAGTTGGACTGCAGCTGTCAGTTAACCCCGCCCTGATACACTTCCTGAGTAGGACTGTAGCTGTCAGTTAACCCCTCCCTGATACACTTCCTGAGTAGGACTGTAGCTATCAGTTAACCCCTCCCTGATACACTTCCTGAGTAGGACTGCAGCTGTCAGTTAACCCCTCCCTGATACACTTCCTGAGTAGGACTGTAGCTATCAGTTAACCCCTCCCTGATACACTCCCTGAGTAGGACTGTAGCTGTCAGTTAACCCCTCCCTGATACACTTCCCGAGTAGGACTATAGCTATCAGTTAACCCCTCCCTGATACACTCCCTGAGTAGGACTGTAGCTGTCAGTTAACCCCTCCCTGATACACTTCCTGAGTAGGACTGTAGCTGTCAGTTAACCCCTCCCTGATACACTTCCTGAGTAGGACTGTAGCTGTCAGTTAACCCCTCCCTGATACACTCCCTGAGTAGGACTGTAGCTGTCAGTTAACCCCTCCCTGATACACTCCCTGAGTAGGACTGTAGCTGTCACTTTACCCCTCCCTGATACACTTCCTGAGTAGGACTGTAGCTGTCAGTTAACCCCTCCCTGATACACTTCCTGAGTAGGACTGTAGCTATCAGTTAACCCCTCCCTGATACACTTCCTGAGTAGGACTGTAGCTATCAGTTAACCCCTCCCTGATACACTTCCTGAGTAGGACTGTAGCTGTCAGTTAACCCCTCCCTGATACACTTCCTGAGTAGGACTGTAGCTATCAGTTAACCCCTCCCTGATACACTTCCTGAGTTGGACTATAGCTGTCAGTTAACCCCTCCTGATACACTTCCTGAGTTGGACTGTAGCTATCAGTTAACCCCTCCCTGATACACTTCCTGAGTAGGACTGTAGCTGTCAGTTAACCCCTCCCTCCCTTCTCTAAAAATGCACTTTGCTACCAAGCACCCTGGTCAAACATTTCAGATGATAGCTAAAATCAATATTGGGGTATTTTTTTATATTTCAATGCCCCTCTCCCTTGTTTCCGTGGTGACTGTGTGTCTAGACAGGCCCCTTGTGGGAACAATAGCAGTAACAATTATTGATTAGAGGCAGGAGCATTCATATCAAGTGGTCGTTTGTATCGTTGTTTGACAGGGCTTGCTACAGATGATGCAGATTGATTGCCTTTTCTTTCATACATGTAGTCAACTATTTCCTCTGTTTCTTGTATGTCTGCTGTGCAAGTGGGACAGAGAGCATGTTTATTTCATTTGGGGCAGAGGTATGACCTGAGGGTACATACAGCCTTTGACATGCCATTCATGTACATGTCAGAACTAATTAATTTCATTATTAATTAATTGTTTCATGAGTTTTTCATGTTTTTTTGCAGTACATTATTTTTTTATAAATATCATAAATATGG